CCTGCCACGCGCCACGGGGGCATGAGGGACCTGCACGAGTCCAGCTTCAGCCTGTCCGGTAAGAGGGGCCCGGCACCCCCAGGGCACCCCGGTGTAACCCAGGGACAACCTGGGCTTCCCAATGCCTTCCCAGCCACACCACGTCGCCACCAACCTGGAGCATCCCAGTACAGTCCTGAGCATCCCAGTGCATCCTGAGCGTCCCAGTGCTCCCCAGCCGTCCCAATGTACCCCCCATACACTCCCTATATCCCCCCCTCCCCCTTCCCTCTATGCAACACCCAAGGCTCCTGGGCCGGGCAGGGGCTGACCCCACCCTCATCCCATCCCATTCCCATCCCACGCTCCCATGGTGTTGGAATGGGTGGGAGTGGTTCTGTGGGGGGGGGGGAGGGGGCTGCGCTACGGGTCCCGTCCACCCAACGACGTGTCCGTCTGTCCCCCGCAGGTTCGCAGATCGATGATCACGTCCCCAAGCGCGCCTCGGCCCGGATCCTCGCCCCCCCCGGAGGGCGATCGAGCGGCATTTGGTAACGCCGAGGGGCTGCCCCCCAAGTGAGGATGCAGGCAGCCCTCCGGCGGGGCCCCCCCGAACCCCGCGCCCCCGGCTCAGCCGAGACGTGGCCCCTCCCGAGGGGTGCCCCGGTGGATGGGGGGGGCCCTTGGAGCTGTGCTGTAGGGCCGTGGGTCTGAGCCCCAGCGATGGGGCCGGGGCTGGGGGGGAGGGAGGGGAGGGAGGGGGCAGAAGGAAGCCCCCCCCCCCCCCCCCCCCCCGTCTCTTTTCTGTTTGCACGTCGGGTTTGGATCAGTGAGCATTTTTTTGCCTCCTTTGTGCATCGCGTGGAAATGCCCCCAATAATGGTTCGTGTCGATAGCGGGAGGGGACACACCGCAGGGACCCCCCCCAACACCCCCACCCACCGCCCCCCCAACCGCCCCCCCCCAACACACACACACCATGGTGCTATGGGGCCGCCCCTGCCCCCGTCCCCCCCCGGGGTAGTGTGAGATGTGAAATGTGGCTTCGTGCACTTTGTCCCCTTAGATGTCCCCGTAGGCGAGGGGGGGGCCGCTCCCGTCGCGCATTAAAACTGTTCTCACCGCAGCGCTGTCTGATGGGAGGGGGGACGGAGGGGCGGCACCAACACAGCACTGCAATGCAACCGTCAGCATGGGGGGGCGGGGGGCACGGGGACACAAATGGGGACATGGCATGGGGATACAGGGATGTGGGAACACGGGGACACAGGGCATGAGGACATGGAGATGGGGACATGGGAGCGTGGGGACATGGGGACACAAATGGGGACATGGCATGGCGATACAGGGATGTGGGGACATGGGGACACAGGGCATGAGGACATGGAGATGGGGACATGGGAGCGTGGGGACATGGGGACACAAATGGGGACATGGCATGACGATACAGGGATGTGGGGACGTGGGGATAAGGGGGCAAAAATAAAAAAAGGGGGCACATGGGAGTGTGGGGACATGGAAACACAAATGGGGATATGGCATGGGGATACAGGGACATGGGGACATGGGGACACAGGGCATGAGGACATGGAGATGGGGACATGGGAGTATGGGGACATGGGGACACAAATGGGGACGTGGCATGGGGACTCAGAAATGAGGACATGGGGACACAGGGACATGGGAACATGGAGATGGGGATGTGGGAGTGTGAGGACATGGGGACACAGGTGGGGATAAGGGGACACAAATGGGGACATGGCATGGGAACACAGAGAGGTGGGGACATGGGGACTCAGAAATTAGGACATGGGAACATGGGAATGTGGGGACGTGGGGATACAAATGGGGACCCATGGCATGGAAACAGAGAGGTTGGGACATGGGGACTCAGAAATTGGACATGGGGACACAGGCAGGTGGGGATAAGGGGACACAAATGAAGGTATGGAGACATGGGGACATGGGAGTGTGAGGACATGGTGACACAAATGGGGACGTGGCACAGAGATACAGGGATGTGGGGACGTGGGGATAAGGGGGCAAAAATAAGGACATAGGGACACAGATGGGGACATGGGTATGTGAGGAAATGGGGACACAAATGGGAACATGGCATGAGGACGCAGGGGATATGGGGACTCAGAAATGAGGACATGGGGACATGGACATGGGGAGACAGGAGTGTCGGGACATGGGGACACATATGGGGACATGGCATGGGAACACAGAGAGGTTGGGACATGGGGACTCAGAAATCGGACATGGGGACACAGGCAGGTGGGGATAAGGGGACACAAATGGGGACATGGCATGGGAACACAGAGAGGTGGGGACATGGGGACTCAGAAATTAGGACATGGGAACATGGGAATGTGGGGACATGGGGATACAAATGGGGACCCATGGCATGGAAACAGAGAGGTTGGGACATGGGGACTCAGAAATCGGACATGGGGACACAGGCAGGTGGGGATAAGGGGACACAAATGAAGACATGGGAACAGAGGGACATGAGGACATGGAGATGGAGACATGGGAGTGTGGGGACATGGCATGGGGACACAGGCAGGTGGGAACATGGGGACTCAGAAATGAGGACATGGGGATACAGGGAGGTGGGGCCACAGGGAGGTGGGGATATGGGGACTTAGAAATAAGGACATGGGGACATGGAGATGGAGGCACAGGGATGTGGAGACACAGGCAAAAGGATGTGGGGATGTAGGGACACAGAGCTGGGGGACATGGGGACACAAATGGGAACGTGACGTGGGGACAATGGAGACAGAGGGATGAGGACATGGGGAGGTGGGGACACAGGGAGGTGGGGACATGGGGTCATAGAAATGGGGACATAGGGACATGGGGACATGGAGATGGGGACATGGGACTCGTGAAAAGTCATGGCTGTTGGGTGAGGTCCCGGATGACTGGAGGAAGGGTCACATCACTCCCAGAAAGGGAGCAAGGAGGACCCGGGGAACTACAGGCTGGTGAGTCTCACCTCTATGCCTGGGAAGATGATGGAACAGATCATCCTGGATGACATGCTTGATCACATGAGGAAAGGGCGCGTGATCCGTGACAGCCAGCACGGCTTCACCAGAGGAAGGTCATGCTTGACCAATCTGGTGGCCTTCTATGATGGAGTGACGGCATCGGTGGACAAGGGAAAGGCGACCGATGTCATTTACCTGGACTTGAGCAAGGCCTTTGAGGTGGTCCCCCACCACATCCTTATCTCCAAACTGGAGGGATGTGGATTTGATGGTGGACCACTCGATGGATAAGAAACTGGTTGAAAGGGCACAGACAGAGGGTGGCCATCAATGGCTCCATGTCCAGGTGGAGGCCGGTAACGAGCGGCGTCCCCCAGGGGTCTGTCTTGGGACCGGTGCTCTTTAACACCTTTATCAATGACATTGATGACGGAATCGAGTGCACCCTCAGCAAGTTTGCTGACGACACCAAGCTGAGTGGTGTGGTTGACACGGTTGAAGGACGGGATGCCATTCAGAGGGACCTCGAGAGGCTAGAAAGGTGGGCCCGGGTGAACGTGATGAGGTTCAACATGACAAAATGCAAGGTTTTGCACTTGGGCCGGAGGAATCCCAGGCATCCCTACAGACTGGAAGGAGCGGTCCTTGAG